TGCGACTTGAGCTTTGTCAGCCCATCCAGCTTTTGTACTACAGGGTTTTTCAAGCTAAGAGTTGAAAATTCAATCCTCAACAGTGGAATCACTTATGCCACAGTCAAACCAGTGGTGACTTTCCCATCAGAGGACATGGTCACCCCTCTTTTCATAGGGGTTGATATAGACATGAATATGAAACCCATGTTCTATTTCCATGATTCTTGGTTCACCTCCTGTTTTTGCTGGTAAAACCCTGCATTTCCCCTGCAGGATGCCCTTCAGCCCGACGTCATCGCCTACACCGCGCTGCTGGACCTCTACGCCAAGCTGGGCGACCTGGAAGCGCTGCGGAGACTGCTCGCGACCATGGCACCGAACGTGGTGAGCTTTACGGTGCGCCCTGGGAGCGTTGGCAGATGGCTACGCGGCTACACCATCTGCCGGTGATTTTTGAAGTTCTTTTTTAAATAGATCCACCAGTGGGAAGATTTTGGATCTTTGGGGACCATCTTGAATTTCAAACAAATACCAGATTTACTTGGAAAAAAACTTGTAATTAAACCATAAAACGTGGGATTTCAGCAGCAAAAATCAGAAAAGATGGGATGCAATGGCAAAAACTGGGGGATTCCAAGGGAAAACAGCCCGGGGATAGAAATGATGAGGACGGAATATGGTTTATTTGAGGAGTTCAGTGGTAGCTACAGAGTCCACAACCCAGGGGTCCTCCTTGTGCACAGGCCTGGTCATGTCGCTAGAACAAATTGTAAGTTTGGGGAATTTTAAACTAATCATGATGAATATACTGGCAAAATTGATTGGTCCTCAAAGATGTTCACCCCAAAATCCTCATTTTTTTTTTATTCCCTCCAACAGGGCCACAAAAATTGCCCGCCCAGATGGGGTATAAAAGATGATCACCGGCTGTATAAATGGTGTTTTCCATTTTCCGACAAACTCAACCGGCTGTATCTGTCCAAAATGGCGAAGCAAATTTAAAAAAAAAACAGCTGCAGGGCTTTTTCAGGGCCATTTCATCCTGGTACCCCTGACCATCATCCCAAAGGACTTGAAGCTTGACCCCTGGCCACACTGGAAACCGCCATCTCCCTGCATAAAATTGAGATAATTGAGGGTTTTCAATTTTTGTTGGTTATGTAAACCAAACGTATTGATACTTCAACCTCAATTCAATTCAATTTTTGTTGGCTCGATCCCCATTTGATGCTTCTCCAAGTAAACCAAACTGGGGTATGAGTGTCACACTTTTCGTGGTTGAGCTCGCAAACTTTTCTTGGTTTTATCCACTTAAATCCGTCCCCAAAGAATTGGTGGCTCGGCGCTCTCAATTCTTGAAATCTCAAAATTGCTGGCTTAAACTCTGGTTGATACATGTTGATACATGTTGGTACATGTTGATACCCTTAAAACATCCCAGATATCCCAGAAAAATGTGAAAACATGACTCACCACGCCTGGGAGGTGCTTCTGAAAGCCCTGGTGAAGCTGCAGCGGCTGCAGGAAGCGCAAGAGACTCTGGAGGAGATGCAGCTGAAGCGCATGGCGTCGCTGGTTGCATCCGTTGGCCAAAATGATGGGAAAGCCCACGGAAAATGGGTAAAATGGGGGATGATCATGATGGAAAAATATGGAAAAATGGTCCAGAAATCCAGAATAAAGATTCTTGAAGATCGGAGAATATGTGGACATTGATGTTTTCTTGAAGCAGGGCAATGGACAACTCACTACTTTTTTTTGGCATCGACTTTGAATGGGATCTCTACACAGGTTTTCTTTTGCTATGTTGATTTACAAGAGGGTAATATCAGATGGCCAAAGTCTGTAGGTGGCTCGTATTATCCCAATGGTTGTTAGCTGTGAACCAACATGATGCAGGGGTGCCTTTGGTCGCTAACACATTCTTTGCATTTCTTGGCATTCTATTCATTGCCAGAGAGCCAAGGAATCTCATCAGCTACACCTCCCTCTTGAGTGCTTTTGCGAAGAAAGGCAGGATACGACCTGGGAATTTTGAGCACTTGACCGCACAGCTTTGCTGCCTTGAAAGTTGACCATGGTTGAGCTCGGCAGGACAGCACCCTATGACTTTCGTGACTTTCACTGCCGCCATCTTTGCTCAGCTCTGAGTCCACTGAACATCTCACAGCATCTCACAGCACTTGAGGTGTGATTCCCTCTGTTGGAACTTGGAGGTGTGCACTGAGTGCACTGGCATAGTTTGATCATGTTTGATCTCTAAACCGAAGGGCTGTAAGAGACTGCGCCTGTTTTCACTCATTGCAAAGGATACACCGGATACACCGAACAAGTGGGAATTCGCCTTCAGAATTTGGAGACTTCACCCAACCCCAGGGCTTCTGTCAACTCAGGGTTGACATTTCACGTATTGTGATCAAGTGGTGCAGCCACGTTTGATCGTGCAGCTTGGGGCGGCGAAGGCTCGTCTGAACTTGGAGGTGCCCCAAAGAAGCTGAAGGTTTGCCAGCCAACAAAGCTTGTTTGTGGATATTTGTGGCTGCCTGAGTGCCCATGGCTAGATACCCTCTTAATAATTTTGCACCAGCATCAGCCGTTCCTTCCATGCTTACAAGATCCCGCAAACTGGTTGGTGGTTTCAATCAACTCCCTTCAACATATACAGTATCAAAATATCATGTTGGGTCATATTGGGTCATCACCCCAAGTACTTGGGGAAAATCACAAAAGATGCGACACCATCTGTGATAACTCTATTTCAAAGCTATCCTAATCTCCCCAGTGTTGATGAAATCAATTGGTGTGTCATACCGCCTAGGTCATGAAGGCATGGAAGGTGCTGGTTCTCATAGCTGCGATCTTCTCTGGAGTACTTCATGGCTGTGACCAGGAAGAGGAGGATGCTCCTATGGCCAAGGACGACGGCGACGGCGACCATGACGACCATGGCCATTCCCATTCCGACAACGACACGGTGATGACAAGAACCACAACATTCACCGCCACACCGAGCACTACAGCTGTGCCGACCACTGACCATGGTGATGAGGAGGATCATGGCCACTCGCACCGGTGAAGTAAAGGCAACGCTGAAGGCAATGGTCATTTGGATGGACATTGAGTTTAATATGGTGAGAGCGTTTCACACTTCATCGCAAAGGCAGGGTCTGCAAACACTGCGGATATCATCCTGAAAATATGATACCTTTGCGATCCTTTGTAATTGGTGTTTAGTTTAGTTGCTGTTTAGTGCTCAAAAGTGCTTGGGAGACGTTGAAAGGTCTACAGTAGTGGCACTTGGTGAAGTTGCTGCATTCCCAAGAGATGAGTCAAAAAGAGGAAGCGGCTATTTGTTTCGTGAACGTCGGATTCCAAGACACGTGCAGCTCAGACATCTCTGCAGAGAAAAGTCAGGGATCTGTAGAGTCTGTGATGCCAAGCATTGTGTCGTGCAGATTACTCTCTCCTGAAACATGTGGATGGGCACATTTTCTAAAGATCACATTGGCTCCATATCCCAATGCAGCATTCATTGTCCTCAACTGAAGACCTCCCAATGGAATTCTATATTTTACCCTCTGGTAAACTAACATAGCTATGGAAAATCACCATTTTTAATGGGAAAACTCACTATAAATAGCCATTTTCAATAGCTATGTTAGTTTACCAGAGGGTAATGTGTTTGAATCAGTTTCAAGGTTCAGGAAATGACAAACAGCTTGTTTTGACCCTGTTTCCTGACAGAGAACTCACAGAAATGATGTTGGATCCCCCTGAATTCGTTGGAACTCTAGGCATCAGGGAAGAATATAAATATATAATAATATATATATATCATATAATATTATAATATCATATACATATATATATCATATAAGATCATATTTACATATATATATCATATATATATATCATATATATATATATATATATCATATATATATACATGTATCAATATATATATATTATAATATATATATTGATACATACTTCTTCCCTACCCAGAATCCCACAGGCCTGGCTCTCAACTTCTCCTAGTTCCTTCGGGTTCCCCCCGCTTCCCCCGGGCAGGTGAGGTGAGTCGGGCAGAAGGGCTCTTCGGAAGCTGGCCTTGGAGATCGTGAAATGGTAAGATCAACCATCCCCGAGGTCATTTAAAAGGTTGATCTGTTAATAGATGGTTAATAGATGGTTAATAGATGGTGTAAGTTTGAATTCTTTTGGGTATTGATTCTGTTCATTTAAAAGCGGTGATATCCTCAGCGTTTTTTGGGGTATGAGAATCCTTGTGCCCGATGGAGCTGTGGTGGCGACATCTCCAGCCAGTCATTTCCTTTTCCCATGGTGCTTTTTAAAATTTTTGGGGTTAGGTCCTGAGACTTGGAGAGTTTAGGTTTGATCTGACGCTCCAGCTTTTCGTACCGTTGTCGAGATGACAATCTTGGAACTGAAACATGGTCGAGAAATCTTCCCGACTGGAGCAGTGGCCCAGGAAGCATGCAGAAGGCTACCCTCCAGATGGACGTTGTGAGTTATGGCATCTCGGTCATCAGTCATGATAGGGTTTTCGCAACAGGCTCCTTTAGGAAATGGCCGCAGCCACTCCCCAGGCACCTTGATCTTGGCGTTTGCACGAGCTGGTGATGGCCAGGGCGCCGTGAGAACATTGCGGAGATGTGCCGAGGACTGTAGCGGCCGAAGATTTCGATTCGAATCGTTGCCTTCCATGGCGCCGGGAGGAGAGGATCGCTCCCAATGTGGTCTGTTATGGCACCGCCATACAAGCCTTGCGGAAGGAAGGCTGGGAAAACAGGAAGCGGGGAACCAAGGGGAATCATCCTGGTTTCAGAGTTGATATGGTTTCATCCTTGAATGAAGATGATTTTCTTTACGAATATGCCATATGTACAGGTGATGAGTGCCTGGTACTTGCGAATGGAGTGGTACATTTACTGATATATATATATATACGTATATATATATATATGTATATATACATACATGTATGTCATACACGTTTGTGATAGAACCCCAACAAGCTCCCAGGCAAAACTTCCCCGGTTGTGCATAGGCAATGCAATGGCAGCAGAAGCGCTTCTGCAAGAGATGAGTGATCGCAGGACCGGGTAGCTGAGAAGCTGACTCGGCTGGCTCTGATGGTGTGAATATGGAGCCAGCTTCTTAAACAAGCAAAGTGGATCTCTAATCACCTCTTGGATAAGAATATCTATACATATATTTATATGTATATACATTTATATATATATAGTTCTATTTATAGTTATATTTATATTATCATATTGTATCATATCATATTGTATTGTATGACATTCAATAGGAGTTCCAGCCAGTTTGCCCGCAGCACTCCAGCGTCAACTTGATCTGTCAGGCTGCAATTGAAGACATAGGGTGCATCTTCGTGGGACGCGGGCTGACCGGTGCGACCTAATCCGGCTGGTTCAACGAGAGCTTGGAGAGTATGATAACTTGGTGCACGATGGTCGACGTTGGTCAACTCAGTAATAAACCATAGAGCTCATACAGACGTTTACCATTTGGGTCTTGTTGTAGACCATACCCAGTTTGCACAACATGACAGTTCAACTCATTACATTTCCACCTTGAAGGCGCTGCAGCCTTTGCAACTGTGCTCCCCAAGTTGATCAGGCAGCCAAAGCTGCAGCCACTGCAAGGGAAAAAAGCTCGGTTGCAGCGGTGTTATGTGGTTAGGAATCGTTAGGAATCAGCGCAAGGAGAGCCCGCTAAAGCAAAGACTATTTGGCAAGGACTTACAATCATTCTTGCTCAACAGTGTTCAAGCATGTTCACGCTCCTTAGGTATGAATCAAACCAACTTTCAAAAACAAAAAAGTGCGGTTCGAGGTTGGAATGCAATGATGTTTGGTGCAAACAAGCCATTAGAATGTGCCCATTGTGCATGGATTCGGATTATTAGAGGGTACTTTGGCCACCTTCGACACTGAATGGTTCACTTTGTTTTGCAGAACTGTGATATCTGTGATCTTTGCATCAAGGTGGACTTGCGACTCAACTGAGTGCAATGGTATCTGGTAGACTGTACACAAGATGGTCCTGTGGGGTGACATTACAAGGCAAAGTCCTTTGTTTTCAGCGGAATTGTACCCCCAGTGCCCAAGTTCTCCACCAGAGTGGGACTGGAACCACATGCAAATTAAGCTTTTGGTGAGATGTTGGCATTCTGCTGATGGGGATTTTCACTGCATGGTGCTGCTGGATCACCATGGGAAAAGCTGCCAGACGACAGGGACTGGATTTCGGCTGAACAACCAGCTGTCTTATGATGTCTTAATAATGACAATAATGATTATTATGTGGATGAATGATGATGATGATGATGATGATGATGATGAATGATGATGATGATGATGATGATGATGACGATGACGATGACGATGACGACGATGACGATGATGATTCTTATTTTATTATTAGTAAGCTATTAATAATAATAACAACAATAATGTTTTTGTTTTTGTTTTTGTTGTCGTCGTCGTCGTCGTCGTCGTCCTCCTCGTCCTCGTCGTCCTCGTGGTTGTGGTTGTGGTTGTTATTGTAGTTGTTGTTGTTGTTGTTGTCGTTGTTGTTGTTGTTGTTGCTGTTGCTGTTGCTGTTGCTGTTGCTGTTGCTGTCGTTGTCGTTGTCGTTGTCGTGGTCGTTGTCATTGTCGTTGTCGTTGTTGTTGTTGTTGTTGTTGTTGTTGTTGTTGTTGTTGTTGTTGTTGTTGTTGTTGTTGTTGTTGTTGTTGTTGTTACATATTCAATATTAAATCATAGCTTTCCCAGCTATCTTCTCATTTTTCCCGAGAGCGCCTGCGAAGGGTTCTTCGTAAAAAAGCAGCCGTTATACTACATCTTCACACCTTCACATCTGCTGATCTAGATCTTCACACCTTCACATCTGCTGATCTAGATCTTCACACCTTCACATCTGCAGATCTAGATCTTCACACCTTCACACCTGCAGATCTAGATCTTCACACCCTCACATCTGCAGATCTAGATCTTCACACCCTCACACCTGCAGATCTAGATCTTCACACCTTCACATCTGCAGATCTACATCTTCACACCTTCACATCTGCAGATCTACATCATATACACCCTCACACCTGCAGATCTAGATCTTCAAACCTTCACATCTGCTGATCTGGATCTTCACACCTTCACACCTGCTGATCTAGATCTTCACACCTTCACACCTGCAGATCTAGATCTTCACACCTTCACACCTGCAGATCTAGATCTTCACACCTTCACACCTGCAGATCTAGATCTTCACACTCTCACATCTGCCGATCTACATCTTCACACCTTCACATCTGCTGATCTAGATCTTCACACCTTCACACCTGCAGATCTAGATCTTCACACCTTCACACCTGCAGATCTAGATCTTCACACCCTCACATCTGCAGATCTAGATCTTCACACCTTCACATCTGCAGATCTCTTCTCGCTCTTCTTCTATTTCTCTCTTAAGGCGGGGGCGGTGCCGCCGGAGCGCCACGAAACGCAACCCTTTCGCACGAAATGGACGTTGGACGCCAAAAACTGAGGAAAAATTGCGATTTTACTTTGTCCATCGCAACCCTTTCGCACGAAATGGACGTTGGACGTTAAAAACTGAGGAAAAATTGCGACTTTACTTTGTCCATTGCGACCCTTTCGCACGAAATGGACGTTGGACGTCAAAAACTGAGGAAAAATTGCGACTTTGAAGCGTCCGGCGCAACCCTTTCGCACGAAATGGACGTTGGACGTCAAAAACTGAGGAAAAAATGCGACTTTGAGGTGTCCCGCGCAACCCTTACGCACGAAATGGACGTTGGACGTCAAAAACTGCGGAAAAATTGCGACTTTGAGGTGTCCCGCGCAACCCTTACGCACGAAATGGACGTTGGACGTCAAAAACTGAGGAAAAATTGCAACTTTGAGGTGTCCCGCGCAACCCTTACGCACGAAATGGACGTTGGACGTCAAAAACTGAGGAAAAATTGCGACTTTGAGTTGTCAATCGCAACCCTTACGCACGAAATGGACGTTGGACGTCAAAAACTGAGGAAAAATTGCGACTTTGAGTTGTCAATCGCAACCTTTACGCACGAAATGGACGTTGGACGTCAAAACTGAGGAAAAATTGCGATTTTACTTGGTCAATCGTAACGCTTTCGTCTGTGTAAAAGTGTCTGTGTGTAAAAGCCTCTGTGTGGAAAAGCCTCTGTGTGTAAAAGTGTCTGTGTGTAAAAGTGTCTGTGTGTAAAAGCGTCTGTGTGTAAAAGTGTCTGTGTGTAAAAGTGTCGTGTGTAAAAGCGGTTGTGTGTAAAAGCGTCTGTGTGTAAAAGGGTCTGTGTGTAAAAGCGTCTGTGTGTAAAAGCGTCTGTGTGTAAAATCGTCTGTGTGTAAAAGCGTCTGTGTGTAAAAGCGTCTGTGTGTAAAAGCGTCTGTGTGTAAAGGAGTCTGTGTGTAAAAGCGTCTGTGTGTAAAAGCGTCTGTGTGTAAAAGCGTCTGTGTGTAAAAGCGTCTGTGTGTAAAAGCGTCTGTGTGTAAAAGCGTCTGTGTGTAAAAGCGCCTGTGTGTAAAAGCTCTGTGTGTAAAAGCGTCTGTGTGTAAAAGCTTCTGTGTGTAAAAGCCTCTGTGTGTGAAAGTGTTTGTGTGTAAAAGCGTCTGTGTGTAAAAGCGTCTGTGTGTAAAAGCGTCTGTGTGTAAAAGCGTCTGTGTGTAAAAGCCTCTGTGTAAAAGCCTCTGTGTAAAAGCGTCTGTGTGTGAAAGTTTTGTTTTTGTGTAAAATCTTCTGTGTGTAAAAGCTTCTGTGTGTAAAAGCGTCTGTGTGTAAAAGCGTCTGTGTGTAAAAGCGCCTGTGTGTAAAAGCTTCTGTGTGTAAAAGCCTCTGTGTGTGAAAGTGTTGTGTGTAAAAAGTTCTGTGTGTAAAAGCTTCTGTGTGTAAAAGCGTTTAGCTTCTGTGTGTAAAAGCCTCTGTGTGTGAAAGTGTTGTGTGTAAAAAGTTCTGTGTGTAAAAGCTTCTGTGTGTAAAAGCGTTTGTGTGTAAAAGCGTCTGTGTGTAAAAGCGCCTGTGTGTAAAAGCTTCTGTGTGTAAAAGCGTCTGTGTGTAAAAGCGTCTGTGTGTAAAAGCGTCTGTGTGTAAAAGCGTCTGTGTGTAAAAGCGTCTGTGTGTAAAAGCTTCTGTGTGTAAAAGCGTCTGTGTATGTAAAAGTCTCTGTGTGTAAAAGTGTTTGTGTGTAAAAGTCTCTGTATGCAAAATCGTCTGTGTGTAAAAGCGTCTGTGTGTAAAAGTCTCTGTGTGTAAAAGTCTCTGTGTGTAAAAGCGTCTGTGTGTAAAAGAGCCTGTGTGTAAAAAGCGTCTGTGTGTAAAAGCGTCTGTGTGTAAAAGCGTCTGTGTGTAAAAGCGTCTGTGTGTAAAAGCTTCTGTGTGTAAAAGCCCCTGTGTGTAGAAAGCGTCTGTGTGTAAAAGCGTCTGTGTGTAAAAGCGTCTGTGTGTAAAAGTGTCTGTGTGTAAAAGCGTCTGTGTGTAAAAGCTTCTGTGTGTAAAAGCCTCTGTGTGTAAACGGGTCTGTGTGTCAAAGCGTCTGTGTGTAAAAGCGTCTGTGTGTAAAAGCGTCCGTGTGTAAAAGCGTTTGTGTGTAAAAGCGTCTGTGTGTAAAAGTCTCTGTGTGTAAAAGCTTCTGTGTGTAAAAGCGCCTGTGTGTAAAAGCTTCTGTGTGTAAAAGCCTCTGTGTGTAAAAGCTTCTGTGTATAAAAGCCTCTGTGTGTAAAAGCTTCTGTGTGTAAAAGCCTCTGTGTGTAAAACTGTTGTGTGTAAAAGCGTCTGTGTGTAAAAGGGTCTGTGTGTAAAAGGGTCTGTGTGTAAAAGCGTTTGTGTGTAAAAGTGTCTGTGTGTAAAAGCTTCTGTGCGTAAAAGCACTTGCGTGTAAAAGCGCCTGTGTGTAAAAGCGTCTGCGTGTAAAAGTGTCTGTGTGTAAAAGCGTCTGTGTGTAAAAGTGTCTGTGCGTAAAAGCGACTGTGAAAGTGTTTGTGTGTAAAAGCATCTGCCTGTAAAAGCGCCTGTGTATAAAAGCGTCTGCGTGTAAAAGTGTCTGTGTGTAAAAGCGTCTGTGTGTAAAAGTGTCTGTGTGTAAACGCGTCTGTGAAAGTGTTTGTGTGTAAAAGCGTCTGTGTGTAAAGGAGTCTGTGTGTAAAAGCTTCTGTGCGTAAAAGCGTCTGTGTGTAAAAGCCTCTGTGTAAAAGCCTCTGTGTGTGAAAGTGATTGTGTGTAAAAGCTTCTGTGTGTAACAGCTTCTGTGTGTGAAAGTGTGTGTGTCTAAAAACATCTGCGTGTAAAAGCGTCTGTGTGTAAAAGCCTATGCGTGTAAAAGTGTCTAGTGTCTGTGTGTAAAGGCGTCTGTGTGTAAAAGCCTATGTGTGTAAAAGTGTCTAGTGTCTGCGTGTAAAACCTTCTGTGTGTAAAAGCTTCTGTGTGGAAAAGCGTCTGTGTGTAAACGCTTCTGTGTGTAAAGCGTCTGTGTGTAAATGCGTCTGTGTGTAAAAGCGTCTGTGTGCAAAAGCGTCTGCGTGTGAAAAACAATACGAAGGATAGGATGCAAACCAGTGTTTTGTACTTGTAATATATTGTCTTGATACTACTTGTCTCGCCTGCCTAAAATACATCTTTAATATATTGTCTTGCAATATAGTGTCTCAATACTAACAACAGAAGACCCTGCTCTCTCTCTCTCTCTTCTTTCTCTCTCTCTCTCTCCCTCTCCCTCTCTCTCTCTCTCTCCCTTTCTCTCTATCTATGTCTCTCTGTGGTTGCAAGACACGTGTCATATGATGCCCTTTACCAAGCAGCACAGTGCATATGCATGGGTTGTCACATGTATCCTCTTAATCAATCTTACTTTTCACAACTTACCCCTCCATAGCTCATATAAAATTCACCAACCTATCACCGACTATTTTTTACGACTACCATACTCAGAGCTGCTTGAAACACATCTTTTTCGCTCTCGGGCCAACCGTCGTCTAGTTTCACCAGTCATCCCCTCGCAGGTCGCACGAGCCGAAAGCGCCGAAGGCCGTCAGCTGCTTGCGCCACAGGTGCAGCCCTGCTTTCAAGATGGATTCAATTGTAATGTGTGTAATTGGATTCAATGTCTCAGTGATTCAAGCAAATTTGTTTTCTTGGATCTATTGCTTTGCATATGGACCGGTTGTTTTCTTTAATGATGATGCA